TCATCCTCAGGACCGTCGACTAGTAGTGTAATAGCCGCTTGACGCGGTTTATCGGCTTCGCCAGATACTTCAATTCCTAAATTCACTTAACAGTAAAACATCTCTCTTTATTAGCTTAGGTGTCTTGTTTTGAGTTGTTGGATTATTATAATGGCTCAGATCAAGCAAAATACGGGTAAATACGAAGGCTCTAAATGCAAAGGCTTGGAATCCCTATTCCACACCCCATCTTGATTTTGTGCCCCAATGGAGAGGTTGGGGTGATATGGGCCCTTGGATTTGAATAAACCAGTCTCGCTAAATTTGGCTCTTAGGTTAAATTTCAAATCAAATGTAATACTTGAATGAAAGAACATGAAAAGCTATAGGCTTACGACTAACAAAATTCAAATAAGTAAGAATTCAGAACATGGAAAGCTAATGCTAAATTCAAACTCTTTGTTTCCAAGCAAAGTTTCTTAGCAAATCAAAAGACAAAGGCTTCCATTTTTTCTCCCTTTGTTAATGGTAAGAGTCGATTGCCTAGGTTTTGCAAGATTTTCAGTGAATTAGGTCACGAAAACGCATTTGCAATAATTATAAATGTATTGATTGAAAATGGTACAATGTTCATAAATTTGGAATTTTATACTTATTCGTTGTATTTTTGAAAATTCTAAGTTCCACTTTGAATAAGTAGGCAAGTTTTGGACAAGTTACCTATTTCTGGTTCAGTCTCCTCTTTGCTACGTTGTGATGTGTACAAACGGCTAATGAAATCGAGCAAGACCAGCTCGCCCTATACCACCACTACGTGATAAACAGAGTACACAATCATAGGTGCAAATACACAGCAAATCCAATGCATACAATCTCCAGCTCAGCAATATTCTAGAAGAGAAGGAACTTACTAGTCATATATCCATCCTACACCTGTCATCATCTCCATATTCTTTGTAACCAATTCTATTCCAGATTATTCTTTTCAAGTGTATATAAACAGTGGTATTCTCACTGTACAAGTATGAATGAAATATACAATTCCAACCTTTCTTTTACTCTGTTCTTAATTCTTCACATAGCTTATATTTAATTTAGATCGTTGATTTAAGTTACTATTAGAATATATAAAATAAAATAAAAACGAAATTTAAATTCTTGCTGTTGGATTCCAACGACAACATCACCACAAGGCGACACATGGCAAGCTGCTGCTTCAGGCAGTAGACAACCACTGCAGTGCGGACCCCAATCTAATTCCTTGCACATAGGCTAAGTGGGCTCCATTGAATTTTTTTTTGAGTCCAGGTAATAGCTGAATTGCTATTTGGCCCTTTTATTTTCTTGATTTAGAAGAAATTTTGGGCTATAATTTAGAATATTTTGAATTTGGCCTCATGAATTGGAGATAACCTAATAAAGTCATACTTGAAAAAAAAGTGGAGTGCATTTGGTAACTAGAGAACATTGCCCACCATCGTCTAGTATATTTACATGAACTCAAACAAGCCACCCATACTTGCATTATTGTTAATTAGTTTTCATTTCCATCATTTTTCTTGATTTTTAACCGTTGTTATTTTTCTTAAATTAATATTTTCATTAAAGTTTTCGTGTTTTTGAACTCATGTCCTGTTGTGGACATCTACATTAATTACATAATTTACAGTGGCAACAAAAATAAAGGGTAATGATTTGTCCACTTCAATTTTATTCACTTACATTCATTTTTTAGTTATAAAATGGAGTGTAAGTGGATAAAATTAGAGTGAGGAAATCACCACTCAAAATAAAACACGGGTTATAAAGTAGATTTTTCATTCACTTTTCTCGAATGATGCTATATGATAAATTATAATTATACCTGTTTCCTAACAACAACGTTGATATGGCCGAGTTGGTCTAAGGCGCCAGATTAAGGTTCTGGTCCGAAAGGGCGTGGGTTCAAATCCCACTGTCAACAAATCTTTTTTATTTATTAATATGTTCAGATTTGCGATATAAATAACCTTATCCCCCTCCCTCTCTCTCTGGTGCATATATCGAAAAAGAGCAAAGCCATGACGAGCTTGGCCATGGCTTCTCTCACACTCTCACTCTCAAAGCCTGCCTCTTCTTCTTCCTCCTCCTCTCACTTTCATCGACAATTTCGAACCAGAGCTTCTTCCTCTGCTGCTCCTGGTGTCGACCTCAACACCCTTCAATCCGCCATTGCAAAGGTTCTTCTTCCATTACGCTTTTAGTTTTCATTTACCTATTTTTATTCTTATTTCTAATTTCTCATAAAAATTGCACCATCACTAATTGCTATGCTGCACTTTGTATTCGTCATTAAAGAATTTTAAAAAAACATTTTGATTTGAAGAATGAAAAATGAAACTGCAGCTTGTATTGAACTCTTCCTATGAAATCATGATTGCATTTGTTGGTTAAGGCATGCTTAATCAATGTACATCCTTTATCATGAGTTAATCATGAAATTTAAGTGTCAGAATGAAAATCAGGTGGAGAGTTAATGTAAATTCTTCCTCCTTCTCTCCCATTTACCTTCATTTCTATTATCTTTATTCGAATTCGTAGATAATTGGTTTAGTTTAAATTTTCGATCCCCTTGCTATTGCTAAATAGATAGAGAGAACATCATTGATTGTTGATGCATATATCTATGAGAAATAGATCGAAATGAAATAATGCTACGCATTTTCTGCAGAAAGATAGCAGTGCGGTTAAAGAGGCACTTGATCAGCTAAGTGAAGTTGGTTGGGCCAAGAAATGGAGTTCTCAGCCCTATGTCTCACGGCGTACGGTCAGTCTCCGTTACAAGTGTGAAGTTCTGGGAAAGTGCTACTCAAAAAATTACCAACATCTACAAACAAACCCATGCATACATGTACTTGAATGATGATCATCTGTTCAAAGTATTGACTCTTTCAAGTTTCAACATTTATGCACCAGACATCGCTTAGGGAGCTGACAACTCTCGGAATTAAAAATGCAGAAACTCTTGCGGTTCCCAGCGTCAGAAATGATGTAAGTATTCATAAAACTAGTAATTTCTTTGGGCTACTTGCATTCAGAATGTGCGAAAATTATATACGAAACGCGTTCTTGGATGTTCATTACCTCTTCATACAGTGTGCAAGATTGTTTTGCAAAGCCTCAACACCACATTTACTTATCTGTCCTTTTTATTTGTGCTTTGAACTTTTATGAAGTAGACTCTCATAGCAGCAAACCCTTACCCAAAACGCCCAAACCAATTCTGAGTAGGATTTAGAATTGTCAGCATCCTCTTGTAAATTTGTCTACCTATTTTCTTCTTACATGTCTTTCAGTGTATCTAATATGATATGGGGAAATACGGGATACTTTACATCTAAATTGGGAATGCAGCTCTTTCTATATGCATTGGTCTCAAACTACTTTTTGTAAATTTGATATCGTTCAGTGATACAGGCGGCTTTTCTATTCACCGTGGTGGGGACGACAGGATTCTTAGGTCTTCTTGCTGGCCAACTTCCTGGGGTAAATTTGATTATATCTCCTTGTCTCTGTAAGTCCACATATAAATTATACATCAACTATCTAAACGGTGTGATTAGGAGGGATTTTCGTAATCCTATATTGTTGTGTAATGAATTTTCTTTTAACTTTTTTTTTTTAGCAGTGTATAGTTGACAGTATTTCTCTTTATTTTTCTTTTTCATATATTGGCATTAAAAAAAAGCCTTTTTCTACTCTTACACAAGTATATGAAATTTTAATCTAGCAAGTTTTCTTTCTTTGATCTGGAGGAGGAGATAGGAATATGGTTTTTGGATTTTACAGTTGCAATCTAACCTGGATCGCATTATTACTTTTGCATGAAAGTGGAAGGCATTTTCAAAGTCCCTTTCTTGTGTCTGTGACCACACATTAAGCATGTATTGTAGAGCTCTGGCTATATAAGCAGGGCTGAAGAATCCAATTATTATGTAAGCTACATTTTTTTTATTTTTTTGGATGAGGCCCTATGTCAGTGCAATTGTATTGCTGCCAGCCTAGCACAAGGCGTTGGGGACAGACTGGATAATCGATGGCCACTTTCATTTGATAGTTGATAGTTGAAGTAGACAAGAAGACCTCTGTCCTGGATGTCACAAATTAATTAAGTACAGATTGTCAACATTTTTACTAAAACAAAGAACTTAACTTCCTTATGCAGACAACTTGAATTGTAGTAGAAGTAAGATTAGGATTGAAAGTGCAATGGATTCTTTTTCGCCTTTGTATCAGCCAAATCATTGCCTAGTATTTGTCAACTGCATTTTAGGGATAAAGGTTTACTTGAGTTATTTCCAAATATCATCATTCTTCTAGAACTATTAGATTAGGTCAATTATACACCAGAGAGAAATTTTCTTTTACATTACAGAGAAAAGAAGTTGAAAAGATTCTAGCTCTACTAACATTTCTTGGGTTTGCATAATACTGTTCTTGTAGGACTGGGGCTTTTTTGTGCCATACTTGCTTGGGAGCATCTCTTTAATAGTTTTGGGTGTGGGAAGCACTGCCCCTGGGTAAGACTAAGGTTTAGATGCAATTGAATTTTTATGCCTTGATGACTTGCGTATTTTTAATAGCATTTACGAGTAATTATCAACATTGTATTTTCTTTCATATAAAGTTATCTTCATCTGTACTTTAGGCTTCTTCAAGCTGCCATATCTAGCTTTTCATCATTTTTCCCAGATTATCAAGAAAGAATTGCTAGACATGAAGCTGCTCATTTTTTAGGTACTTCATTACACCACATATTATATACTTAATATCATTAATAATGCATAGATTTTAGTTGCTTGCTTGACATACTGATAAAGTGATTTTTTTCTTTGAACAGTTGCTTATTTGCTGGGCCTTCCTATCCTGGGGTATTCTTTAGATATCGGCAAAGAGCATGTCAATCTTATTGACGAAAGGCTGGAAAAGCTGATATACAGTGGGCAGCTTGATGCAAAGGAACTAGACAGGTATTTACATGATGGCCATACCTACTGGAATTTAAGATTTTTCTTGAGTAATTTTTCACTTCTTAAACTGTAACAAACGGGCTCTCAGTTCTTTTGAAATAGTGCATCTTTTCACTGTGTTGGGATCATTGTTTTCTGATAATATTATTTGGTTTATGCACAAACTGTCCATTTGCATTAAAGTTCTGTTGCAATGTTTTCACATAACTTTATCAATACAAATGCAATACATAATTACACACCAATGCTGGAAATGCCATTATAAATTGACCGGTGGAGAAGAATTAATTTTTAGTGGTCTTTTAGGTTGGCAGTGGTAGCAATGGCTGGACTTGCAGCAGAAGGTCTGACATATGACAAAGTGATTGGTCAATCAGCTGATCTTTTCAGTCTTCAGGTTTATAACTACCATTTTCCTAAGATCAATTGTTTTCTTGATACTATGTTAACCCAATCTCAGAAACTTCATTAAATTTTTTCAGAGATTTATCAACAGAAGCAAGCCACAGCTTAGCAAAGAACAGCAACAAAATCTTACTAGATGGGCTGTAAGTTCCTCAGTTATACAACCTGCATGCTCCACTAACTTTTTATTATTATTTTTAATGTGAGAGTATACAGATGAAAACCTTGGTTCTTTCACGAATAATTATGTGTTTATTTTTTTTGTCACAGCCCTTTTATGGTTTCCTCTGTTAACTGTTAAAAATGATGGAAAGAGATTTAGTAATTGCACATTTTGTAACAAATTCTGATGCTGGGAAATGTATCGCAGGTTTTGTTTGCTGGGTCTCTCTTAAAAAATGACAAGGAAATTCATGAAGCCTTAATAACAGCAATGTCAAACAAGGCAACTATACTGGAATGCATCGAAGCAATTGAGAAAGCTGCTTGATTCTGCAGTCAGGAATCCTGCAGGAGATTCACTTTCACATGGGACATGCGGTAGTTGCTTAACCCTCATTCTTAATCTGCAACTAAGAAACTTGTACAATTTTCTGTAAGTTACCTTTGCCCTACTGTATATCACAAGATATTCATTCTGTATCAACAAAACTTAAAAAGTTACGACGATGAAATGATTCATTGTACTCATACACAAGCGACTGAACCTCGAATGGCACTTCATACATTTCCATTTCCATGGGACTTAAATGAATAAGCCCTCGTGATCAGAAAATATTTTGTATAAAGTTTTGCTTGTTTTTGACCAAGTAAGAAAATGAGAAGTTGTTAATTTATCACCCAGTTAGTTGGGAAAAACAGAGAAGATGGTGAATGTTTTTGTATAAGCTGCTTGATCTGCAACTAAAAAGAACTTATTTTGTTGTCTTGGGGTTGATCTTTCATGTAAACAACATACCATTAGGTTTTAGAATTTGGCGCCTTCGGTTCAATTTTAAAAGGAACTAGAGGTCTGTAGCTTGAAAAAATGGTTGAAAGAGAAGGCTATCCAAGTATCCAACCAATAGGTTTTAAACTTTTGTCTCCTATGGTTCACATTGTTAATTTTCATCACTGTCCTTAACGCAGCAACTTCTTCCCACCTTCTCTCTAATGCATATATGTTAGCCATCTCCACGAATGTAGCTACATCCTGGGGCCCCAACTCAGATAGACGTCGACGTGCATATTCACTGATCTCTATGTTACGGTGAATCTTGCAAGCTCAAAGTAATTATGCACCCCATATTCCAACATCAGGTTTCACTGGCATGTTCTTCACAAGCTCCACAGCTTTCATGCTTTCTTTATGCTCAAGGATTTATATCGTAGACTTTTATCATCTCAAAGAACTCCATTCCTTTCTCAAAATTACCTGCATGAATGCAAACTTAGAATGGCAAGAACTATTAAGTGGTTTGGTAAACACAACCCATATATTACTGTACAAATAGATTATCTGAATAAAGGCCATTTTATTCAACTGAAATTGATACAAGTCCAACATTTTTATTGAAGTAACGTAATTTATTGTTCTTCTGTAGATTATTATTCTGATACAACAAGCTGGCTGTAGTTCATGACCACCTGAACGAAAACGTTATTTAGCACTCTTAATTTACAGCCGCCCGTACATCGACAACATTTCCCTCAGTTGCAAAGCTTCTGTCTCCAAGCTATCAAAGCTCCTGGAACTAGGTATCCTCCAACCCCAATTTCCAAACTGTGCAAAAGAAAGAAAAAAATCATTGACATGCGGTGTCAATATGTTAGGTTGCATATTTCTACAAGATATTAAAACCCCAAAAAAAACAAAACAAAAAAAAAAAAAAAAAAAAAAAAAAAAAAAAAAAAAAGAGCTTAGACTTTCAGCTCAGAAGCAAAGATTCCTGACTTCTAATTATTATGTGTGGTAAAATGATGGGGGGAAAAGTATGCTCTTAAATATCAGAAAGAAGGAAACCAAAAGCCTCAAATGTTTTCGTCTTGCCTCTTGCTGCCTGAGTAGAAACCCAGGAGCACACAAAACATCCAGGTTGTAAAACAGAAAAGGATAGGATGGGAGCACCCCAACCAATCCAAGAATCCGATTTGGCCTATATTCATCTGCATTTTAACTCTAGAGTCTAGACCCTAACCATCAATGTACTGCAGACAACAAAGACCGTCGACCACCATTCTACTGCCCATTACCAATTTATCGCATCTATGTATGAAGCTGTCATTTACCTGAGTTGCAGGAATGTTCATCCTCGCTGAACTTCCTAACCTAAGAATATCTTGCATAGGTATGATTGCTGTTCGGGCCACAGAAGATAATGCAGCTTTTGCGAGTGCCCATGAGATATCATCTTCTTCAGCAATTGAAAGATACTTCAGGACCTGGGATAACAATAAAACTGTAAAGAAACACAAAAAGCTACATCTTGTCTAACATGTAGTGTGAAATTACATATTCTAGTACAAGATTTTTCGAATGAAAGAAAAAACAAAAAACAAAAAGGAACCCACATTGGACTTCTCTTCTTGCTTCAAAACATCCCACCACCCTCGAATCTGCAAGGCAATCAAAGAAACTATTAGCCAGCTTCACTTAAAAGCTGAATGCAAAAAAGTTAAACAGAAGTCATGATCATGGGATTTGAACAACCACTACAAGAATATGCTCTGCCACCTATAATTTAGTAGCAGAAAGAAAACCTCCAGAATAGTGGAAAGAAGGTCTCGAGAATAATTTGAGGGCAAACCCAGAAACATATGGAAAGAAGCCCATGGATGGATGAATTTACCGTGTCATTATCATGAGTTCCAGTGTAAACAACTTGATTGGGCTCATGATTATGAGGTAAATGAGGGTTAGCAGCATCACTTCCAAAACCTACATAGAGAATTTACAGAACAGGGCAAGAACATCAGGTCATTTAAGCTTGAGGTTATTTCTCAAAGCTAATTATATAGAATACAGTAGTATAATAAGTGGGCAAGAAGTCATTACCAAACTGGAGGACAGCCATTCCAGGTGCCCCTATGGATTTCCTTAGCTGAATTACATCCTCAGTGATGACTCCCTGTCATGCAATATGAGAACAAATCCAGCAAACGCTCATGAAAATGTGAATAAATGGGTATTTACAATAAATATCTTCACAATGATAAAAGGTTTATTCGTTTACCACTATTCTGGAAAATTTAAGTTGTTAAGATGCGAGCCAACAATTATTTTATATGCTAATAAAGCTCCCCTTACACTAAAGGCCAATTTCAACTTATATAGAGGTTGTAATTGTAAGGTTTCAATCGGGACCTCCTGCTCCGATACCATGATAAAGTTTTTTTTGTTTGAACACTTTCCCAAAGCTTAAGCTGTTAGGATGTGGGCCAGCAATTATTTTATATTCTGGCAATCATCAATTGGTACAAATAGCAAAGCATCTGAATCCATAAAATTACTGAGGTCCAGTTACAATAAGACGGTAACATTGTAATAAACTTTCTCAATCTTATCATTGCTTCACCGTATCAAAATTTAATTTCATAGCACCAGGATCCACCACATCAACAATGCATCTTACATGTCAAAAGATCAATCAGACACCTACCACATAAGCAGTTTTCTTCTTCTTTTATTTTTAAGTTTTTTTTCTTTCTATTTTGTAAGGACACCAGTGTAATAAAAAGAATCATTAAATCAGTAACCTCATAGCATCAAAATTTACTCCCATAGTTTTACTCTTTTTGTTTTCTTCTCTTTTTATTTGAAGGATTGAATATATTTCTGGAAGTATTAAATTAAAGAATTGAGCTATTATGTTAAGTTTTCCTAACTGCTCTGGATATGGCATTGAAAAAGAATTTTGTATCCAACCAGCTAAAACATACCAAATCTTCAGCTATTATGTTAATCTTCCCAGCTGCTCTGAATATGGCATCAAAAAAGGATTTTCCAGGTCCGGCCTACCATTGTTTAAAATAAAATAAAAAGCTTCAGATTGAATGATGGGATAATAAAGTACATAGAATTATAACTAGAAAACAAGTTATTCAAACCTGACCTTCCATCGTCCAACCATGGCAACTTTTGCTTCTGTGAACACGCCATATATTAGAGTGATAACAACATAGGCATTCTACAAGATAGAAGCATAAGAAGTCTGATCTGTAATTTCTCACCAGAAGGAACAGCCCAAAAGCCAGCAAGACCTCTAAAGTGGTCTATCCTGAATTCGTCATATATATTCTGTGCTCTTCGCATGCGGCGTATCCACCATGAAAATCCTTCTTTCTCCATTGCTTTCCAATCATATAGAGGGCTTTATTTCAAACATTTGGTTTATCAGTAAGCTCAATGATATAGCTCAAACTACAAAACAAACTTGAAACATATGTATGTGTTGTATAAACCTGTCCCAGAGCTGACCAGTTTCACTGAAAGCATCCGGGGGAACACCACTAACTTCAAGAGGAAAACCATTCCTGTTCTGAAAAACTAATATATGATCACCAATTGACACCTAGTACAGCATGCTGTGTTATGAAGATCTCCCTTTACCCACTAAAAAGTACTCACCAGCAGAAAATGTTTTTTATTGGCCCAAACATCTGCACTGTGATAACCTACGTAAATGGGCATGTCTCCCATGATACTGATTCCCTTCATCTGTGCATACTTGCGAACTTTCTGCCATTGCCTTTGGAACAAAAATTGTTCAGCAATGAAGATATTTATCTGCAGAAACAAACACATCAGGGGAAATGGGAATTAAAGGGGCTCCTAACATTAAGTATGCATACAATAAGAAACTATAAATCAGTAAGTAATAGTCAGTCACCCAGATCTCACAAAATGCTGTTTGCTCTGGTAAATGTCTTCCAAGGCTGCAAGATGGCGATTTTTCAAAGGTTCAGGCCACTCGTACCAACTGAAAGCATTTAAACTGCTGTCAATTGCTGCAAAATAAGCTGCATCTTCAAGCCAGCCTACAAAAATGTGAAACAAGAATCACACATGAGAGAGGGAAAAATGTCCACACAAGCATACAAAAGCACTCTGGAGCTGCATTCTTTGTGCTTGGTATTTTCACCAAAGACCATTTGGACAACAAGTTCTAGGAAGTAAAAGACAGTAATTTTTTAGTAAGTTAGTAACCAAAAATTTGGTACTTTCCTGAATAACACATGTGTATGTATGTATGTGCATGCATTCAACTAATAGATCCTAGCAAAGTTAGAATTACACCAGAACTACAAAATAATGTCAATTTACAACCAAGATTGTCAAATTATAACGCATACAATATTGTCACGGCAGTAAAAGTATATTATAAAATTATTAGTGCACAAATAATATGAAAATCTCACTTGATATATCCGGGTCATTACGGAAATCTTCAAGCTGACTTTTAAGTTCACCTTCACTCCTAATAAGCCTCTCTGCAGCCTGACAAAGCGCTAAACTATGAAATAGTTTTTGGTGTAAGAAATGAAAAACTGTTCTAAGTTAAGTGAAAGTCATGGAAAACTGTTCACGATGACTTTTAAGTTCACCTTCACTCCTAAATATCCCAACTTCAGTTTTACACAGTTCAACATGAAAAACTGTTCTAAGATTGCTGAAGTGAAAGTCATGGAAAACGCACAAAAACGAGCAACAGTAATGCTGTTCACATCATTTACCTTAGCTATCAGAGGATCCTTTAAGTCAGCAACAGCTGAGTAGTTCACGCGGTCAGAATCACTGCATGAACCAGTACACCACAATCCCATAAGACAAATCCATACAGAAACCCATATAAAAAGCTCAATATGATGGCAGATGCATTAATAAAGTTTTCCTCACACTGGTTTTGGAAGCTCTTCCTTTGTCAACAAACCATCATTGACAAGCTCCTCAAGAGATATCAACAGAGTGTTACCACAATTTGCATCCTGAAAAAATCCAATCAACCAAAATTACCCACAAATTCAATTGCAAATCACAATGAGGATATAGCACACTACAGCCAATCAAAATATTAGGCTTTACACAATTCACATATGAAATCCAAGCTGTGTGTATATATTACACAGATATATAAGCACTTGGGTAAGTTTAGACATAAAAATAAATAAAAAGCAAATGGGTAAGTATAATTTTACCTGACCAGAGTAAGGGGAGCCCTCTTCATTGGCTTTCCTACCAGGAGGAACCAGCGGAAGCACCTGCCAGAGGGAGCACCCGGCTTCATGAAGCCAGTCAATGAAACGAAACGCCTCCTCCCCAAAATCCCCAATGCCGTGGGGTCCACGGAACGACGTCGGATGGAGGACCACGCCAGCTCTTCTGCGCTCGCTCGGATCCGGCTGGGGGAACACGTCGCCATAGTCTGGAGGTAAGTCGTCGCCGACACCAACGACGGCAGAGGCGGAGGTCGAAACGACAGCAACAGGGGTCAGGACGACGCCGTTGGACATTTGGAAATGTCGGAAGAGTGGAATTCTGGTTTTGGGTTGGAAGTGAGTGGAGGTGGGGATTGAGGAGGAGTTGGAGAGCTTGGGGGAGAGAGTGGAAGGGAGGAGTGAGAGGGAGCTATTCACGGCCATTGAGAGAGAGAGAGAGAGAAAGTTGCAGAGTGGAAGTGTGGATGATGATGATGGTGGTTGATATTGATAAGCATTCAAACAGTACATGTGCCGACGAGGGAAGCGGATCAGTTGTCTGTATTACACCCCAGTAATATATACACTATATATTATAGTGGTAGTCTCTTTCCCCAAAACGTGTATGAATCACGAGTGCCATGTGTAGTTTGGTTCTCCTATTTAGGATTAAGATTGAGAATTTGAGATTCAAGAATGAGTCCTTTAAAAAAAAATGAAAAATGAAAACAAGAAGATATCATAGTGATTATCATTTTGATTCCAGGGCGAAGTGACGAGCAAAAACTTCAGATGGTTTACAGAGCACGGGCTATAGGTCTTAAATCCAAATATGATCTATTAAGTGGACCCGACCCGACCTGACCCCAGTATAGATGTTCGGTCCTTTTTGTTCTTTCACTTTCCTATATTATCCTTAATGCTCGTTTGACATTGCTTATTTGGAGTAAAAAATAATTTTTTTAAAATGTTGGGAAGCTCAATATGTTTGGTAAATTATGAGAAAATCACTTATTGTTAAAAATTACTATGAGAGAAAGCTATAATGGAAAACAGCTAATAAGGTGCTTTCATTTTCTAATTATGCAGGAATCAGTTTTGAAGAGCTGTTGAGTTTCATGATTATGCGGGAATTATTTTCTGATTATGAAGGAAATAGTACCAACAATATTTTTAACAAAAAATTTACTAAACGTCAATAAAATATGTTTTTTCTTATAGTTAATTTCTTCCATAACAAATCTAACAGCAATTAATTTTACAGTATAGTAATGTCAAACTGACCCTCAGTAACGTAGCAAGTAAGATGTCCACTTTGGTGTTAATGTGTGAAAAAAATATTTAAAAAATCTTTAAAAATAAAATTTTTAAAACCATTCTGTTTCCCCTCTTTCTTCGACAACAACCAAGCCCACCCCTCCCGCTTCTCTCTCCTTCTTTCTCTCTTTCCCCCCTCTTTTTTCAACAAAAAAATCCAGATTCGGATTTTTTAAGAGTTTTGGGGTTTGAGTAGTGGCTTGGCTATCGGGCGTTTGGGGCGGTAAGGTCGGTGGTGGGTGCGTTGGGGCGGCGATGGCTATCGGTGGCTGGGTGGCTAGGTGCATTTGGATTTTGAATTTGCAGAGAGAGAGGCGGTGGCCGAAATTTTTTAAAACGACAGTGGCGGTGGCTACAACACTGAAAATCTTGCCGTTGAATCTTCCCTTTAAAATTGACAGCTTTTTGGCTGTTAGATACTCCCACACATCAGGCTCCAAAACCTTTTGGGTGGGCACCCCCATCACAGAACTTTCATGTTTTTGTTTTTTACGTCGGCACTAACGACAAAACTTTATGGTTCTGTTGAGGGGAGAGAGAAGAGGGGGAGATTGAGACGGAAAGGGGGCTGCGTAGGGGAGAAAGAGAGTGGGGTTTGGGATTTTTTTTCTGGTTTTTAAAATATTATTTTTAAAGAATTTTTTTTCTTTTTTTCATACATCATCAACAAAGTAGGCGTCTCACTTGCAACGTCATTAAAGGTAAGGTAAAATAAGAAAGAGATAGAAAAACAATTAATTTTTTTAAAAAAAGAAAAGAGACACAACAAATAAAGATGAAAGAGGAAAAAGAAGAAGATGGGAAAGTAGAAAATTTATCTATTTATATAAAGTAAAAGGCAGAGAATTGTGAAACATTCAAAATATCAGAAAATGTTATTTGATTAATTCAAACATTAATAATTGAAATTATTAATTAAATGAGGATAATAAGGTAAATTCATATTTTTTATATTAAAATTAAAAATAAAATTAGATAATACGTCCTACTTTTATGGAACATAACTACCGGTGTTATCTTTTTTTAATTCTAAATAAAAAATAAAACTATGCTACCGTAGTATTCACTCAACAAATAGAGCACGTTGATGCTTATATTTAAACGAATTCTCAACAAATAAAGCTGAGGGAATGTCGGGGTTTTGTTCCACGTGGTTTCCTCCGTGAAAACATTCATGAGGTCGTCATTAATACGATGATTCTCACTATAATATTTCATGATTTTTAATGGAATATCTTTTCATATAACAAAATTTAATTAAAGTATCAAGTAGAGTTGCAATTCAAAATCCAAAGGAGCCAACGAAAGAAAGATACAACTTTTTTATATTTTTTTATGCCACAATCAGATTCAACCGTTAGTTCATGTAATAAGAGGCAAGCAATCAATTTCACAAATTCAACTGGCAAAGATTCTATAGCTATGCTGTTCTCAGTACATTTAACTCAAGTTTGCCTAAATTATTATTACTATCCATATCATGACACATGTCTAATATTTCTATATATAATTTATGGCCATGTTTGGTTCACTGGATTGGATTGAATATATTCAATTAAAATGGACATGGGTCTAATTTGTTGTTTGATTAGCTTAATTGTATCACTGACTGGATATTGGACCTTAGATCCAAATCCCAAATAACTCTAAAATCCAACTCCGATCCAATCCAATTCAATTCAATATCGAAATTTTTATTTATAATAAAAAAAACAAAACACCCCAAACCGAACATGTCAATTCAATTTACTCCGGATACAGTTTCAAATGCCCAGCTCTAATGAAACCATGGGGCTGTATGTACTTTAATTGAATCCCAAGAAAGCCACTGGCAATTGGCACTTTGCCCTCTTCGTAAGATTTGCAAAATGGGGCATACGCCAGCCACCCTCCTTGTTTGCTTTGTGGCCTCAGCGACTAATTGCCTTCTTTCTGGATGGCTATTGTTTACGGCACACATATGACCATATATTATAGAATTTTGTTCTTTTTTTTTTCTTTAATACTTGATGTTTGTCAACTTCCCAATTTAATACCTAAATTGTTATTTGCCCCGTTTAGACCCAAGTATCAAAATTTGAAAAAGAATTTAGTACAGGCAATCGGAAAGGGAGTTAACACAAATTTTTATTGAGTGTCTGAGATTTCGAACCTCTGACCACTTGAACTACGCCTCACGGGCCAAAATTTGAAACATACTAGATCCGCTAAACCTGTACAATTACATAATACAAACGTGGTATATTTTGATTTTATTTGGCTACAAATCTCAGTCACAGTAGCGGTTAAAATTCTACAAAGGATGAACTCAATGCCATTGCCATTCATCCGACACTCCTCAATCTTATACTATGATATATCACTATAACATTCACTATTAATTATGGGAATTATACATATAATTTTCCAATTAATTAATCTATGCCGTTGACTTTCAGATGCGGAAACGTTGACCACCCGGGCACCTTTCTTCATCACACCTCATCAGACCAATCGCTAAGGTCGGTAGTCTCATAAAACAAGCCATCCACAATCTGATCAATCAACGAATCTATTAACCCGTTACAGCTTAAGCTCAAGACCCGACCCACGTTCTTCCGGTTACTGGATAGCCAAGCAGAGACCGCCGCGCAAGCCACAGCAGCCAAACACACCCCCCCCGCCTCCGCCATCCCCGCTCTCGATGTACTCCGACAACGCCGCGAAGAACGGCGACGTGTCGTCCTTCTTCTTCCTCATCACTCCGGCGAGATCTGAGCCGTACGATCTCAGAGTGCAGAGCCGCGGCTGCAGCACGATCTTCGCGGTCTTCGGATCCGGCACCACGGTTTTCGAAACCGGTACCTGAACAGGAACCGCCGGGTCGCGCCTGCTAAGCGCCGGGTTTTCCTGCCTCCTCAGCTCGCAGCGAATGGCGCGCGCCGCAGTGGCCATGGAATTAGAGGAAAGCTAGTGAGACGGTGCGTTTTGAGGAATTGGCTCGATTCCCAGAATCCTGGGGTTTTTGAGTATTGGGGATTTGGGACGTGTATTTGAGATTCGGTGGGTGGCGGTCTATGAGCCCACGTCTTGGATGGGTTGTGAGGAGGAGGCTGGCGAATGTGGGACCCTCTGTTGGGACGTGGCAGCTGATATGCTCGATAATGTAGTTTTCATTTGGAGAAAAAAAACAACAGGGAGATTAGGTTGATCACAGTCCTGTCGTTTTCATCAGGAAAGTCATGGATTCTTCTTATGTCCGTACGAAGAGAAAGGAGCTATAGATTTTTCTGTGAACAGGAAGAGTATATTTTTTTTGGCCGAATACCCCTCAACTACATCGATTGTCGAATTTAGCATTCTGAATTATTTTTTCAATCAATTTAGTCCTCGGATTATTTTAAATGGTCAATTTAGCCCATGCCGTGAAATGTTTACACTTCCATCCAATTTTCCCTTCATTATAAGGGTAAATGTGTCATTTTACAAGGTACAGTACCAAAAAAAAAAAATATATGTAAAATAAAAAAAATTCAAAAAAGAAAGAACAAAAGAAAACCAATAAATCCCCACCCGAACATCAACTCCCCTCTCCTCGTCTCCCATTTGACATGAGGAGCCTTTCAATTTTTGCATTCTCATTTTCCATTTGGAAATTTCACGGTTTGCTTCAAGGGAAATTAAGGTGAATATTGTTTGGGTGCTTATGCTTGAGCTCCATACGAGCTCTCTTTGTCGGTTTCTTTGTGGGTTTTGTGTTACATGTGATTTGGTTCAATATTTTCACAATTTTGGGGAAGAAAACTTCTGGGTTTTCTTCAGTTCTTTATGTTGTATTCAGAGTTCAACTTCTCATTAGAAAAACTTTTGTGGGTATGTGAAGATTTTCTTATATATGGTGGAAATTAGGATATAATAGGTTTTTCTTAAGGAAAATTGAATTGGGTTGGTACCAAATCGTGAATGTTAGAAGGTTTTGTTTGGTTTTGCGTGATGAAACTTGTTGGGAGCATTGCTGACACCGCATCAGCTGCTTATTGGACTGGCTTATGCCGTGCGTAGTTGAGTTTTTAAGCAATGAGGACTGGGCCGTGCAAAAGGCCGTGGTTGAGGCGCTTAGGAAGGTGGCCTTGGTGGAGAGAGATTTGACGGCGACGTACACAAGTTTAATTAAAATAAGGAAATCATTATCCATTATGATTGTAAGAACTGAAAAATGGAGAAGAAGGAGATAAAATATGATTTTGTTAAAAAGGAAAAAAGAGAACTATGAACATGAAAAAAATGGAGACATAAACATAGAGACAACGAAAAATAGAACTATAAACTTTTTATA